CGCATCAAGCTTCCCAGTAACCAGCCTTTCATCCACGCACAAAACCCGGCACCAACTTTAACCTCCTTATACTACATGTAACTAGTTAGTAACCGTTACTGAGTATTCTTTTTTGACCAGCTGTCAGCGATTATGAACAAAACACCTTTTTCACATTCCCAATATCAATGTTTTTCTCCCACGACTTGTAAAAAATAGGGAGTTCAAAGGCGCTCGCCTATATTTCCCTAAATAAACTGAAACTGAAACCCCAAGATGCCGGCTTTCGAATGAGCTTCCTTCCGGCGGCATGTAAAAACTGCACTCTGTAAAAATGACCACTTAAGTAGCACGCATTTTCCTCGTCTATTTTCGATGCTCCTAAAACTACAATTATATTTCATGCAAAACATGCATTAGAAATATTCAATCTTTCCCTGTTTCTGTAAAAAATTACGTCTTCTTCCACTCTTCGACTTCCAGAAACTTTTCCAATTCCCGAATAATTTCAAACCCGCTCTGCCGTTATACTTGCATTCAAGGTTTACAAACTACAAGCCGTATATATTTCGCGTACGGAAAGCCATGTTTTTCTATACGGTATTAAGTGAAAAGAATTTGGAGTTCATAAAATTTAGAAGTGGATTTGATCCATATTGTTTACTTTACGAGCCGCATTGGTAATGCAGACATATAACGGTCTACGCAAGGTCCTTTCCAATTATTGAAAAATCTCATAATTAGAAACTTTTTTAAACCCCAATTATTATTTCCTTCGAGTATAAAATTGGAAGAAGGCATAATTTTTTGCCGAATAAGCGGAAGAATGAATAATTTTATGCATGTTTTCCATGAAATATAATTGGACAGACAGAGCGTCCATTTCGACGATGTACACCGTCTGCTCTACCGCAGCTGATTGAGAGAGGGGACGGCAAATTTAGCGCGAATTTGTTTGTTTTTATATTAGACGCGCTCTGCATCTACCTCGCTCTGGACTTTCCGCGTCCTATTGACGCCCTCGCCACGTTAATATAGAGCAGACCGGATGTGAGTGAATTCGCAAGTGGCTGACATCACGAAACGCGAACAGTCAAGATGACCGTTGGCGGGAGAGGCCGCGGGTTTCTGACACGGCGAAACCCGCACTTAGGAGTACCAACACTCCACCCCCTGTTGGAAAATGCACGCTGAACATGTGCTTACACAACAAGATCAGGGGGCGGCTTGGATCCCAGTGGGCGCTACGTAAGTCGGCAAATGGGCCTCTCGCCACACTCCGAGTATTTGCATTTGTTAGGGGTGCGCCGGACTTAGATCTATCCCGTGCTGGTCCAGCGTATCTACCGCGTATTCCGTTTTAGGCCCACGTAATGATGTTAGTCAACTATAAATTCTCTCTGTCTGTCTGTCTGTCTGTCTGTCTGAAGATGCCATGATGTTACGGCTGTGGTGGGCGTCAACTGTGTAGTTAGCTATCTTTCGTGGGGTTTACACAAACGTCGCAAGGATGCTCGTGTTGAACTTGGCATGCATGTTTTCCTTGGACTCGGAGCGTAATGCCTACATTGCCGGTTCAGAAAATCACATGTGCTCAACATACGCTGGTTCCATCCCCACGGTAGGAAGGTTGAGCTGTTCCACGACTACCAGGCCCGCCAATTTTCGCTGTGGCTAAGGAATTAATAACCACAGGCATTGCAAGTGGTTTTTGCATAAATACGAGGGGAGTGGAGTTTGGGGTTGGGGTTGATGTTAGACGTTGGGCGTTACGGTTTGGGATAGGAGGATTGGATTTGAAGTTAGGAAACGGGAGTAAGGAGTCACGGAATTTTGGAGAAAGGCTACTTGTAGTGCCGTGTAGGTGTATCTATTCTCATGTCCAATTCACTTTGTACACGCAGACATCGGTCACTGTTCTAGACTAGGGACGTTCGTTGACTCGCATATATCCATGTGACAAAGAGCGTTTTTCTCGGGGACACTGCATTCCTTTCAAAATCGCAATGATACTAAATAACTTATTATTATTATTATTCTTAAAGTACAACCGCACATTCCCAATATCTTTTCTTTAGCATACAACTACTTGACCTCGCCGCCAATGCGTTACAATGCCCCTCCTGTAAAAATACCCTATTACCACCGACCCCGTATTAGAGGTGACTGGGATTTGCTTACTTCAGGTGGGACTACCAAACCACATCCGACCTACTTGAACTCCCCACGGATTCCAGTCGGCTGTCTGAAAATACGACCAAGCCCTGGAGTACTAGAATGCTATACTTGCAGATTAGCATGATCAAATCTGGCTGCCCAGTATTATTTGGCTTTGTTTACACTGTTGAGTGGTCGCTTAAGTATAGTTTATCAAATGTAAAACGTAATGGCTACTGCGTACGAGGCAATAGTATGATGATATAGGATGGACTGCACCGGAATTTGCGCATATTTGTAGTTAGAATGGCGAAATATTAGAGAACAAAAGGAAAGAGCCTAAAGGACTTAAGAAGATAGTGGACGGTTAAAATGTGACGTTTTATAACTAAGGATGTACGAGTGCAGTACCTAAGACCAGCGGTCCGAGATTCTCAGACGCCAGATATCTTCATTCGGGAAGGAGGATAGGTTTTAGCGAAGCCAATGAGAGGTCGCGGCTGGAGGATATTATTAAAAATTCCGGAGATGTTTTCTTCGACTTGGAGGCAACAGTTAAGCAGTTCAGGAACAGACGGTCAAGTAACAATCGACCCGCTCTGTGATACCTTAAAGGCTCCGACTCCCGAGGTAGACAGTTAGCAAAATTCACCGGCTGATTGCTCACGAGGTGTATAAAGCATGTGCGATGATGTCTGCGACAGATTTGAGTTCGCAGGCCAGGTTGAAAGACGAATGTAGGTTCGGCATCATTCGTCCAGTTAAATACCATGCAAATCTTCTTCCCAGACACACAGAAATTGGCTTCTGCTGTTGGTGGTGGAAGGCCTGACCCCTCCAACGCGTGACGGCCCACTGGAGAATAAATCTGCCTTCCAATGGTCCTGATATCTGAGAAGGTTTTGGCAGAAACCTCGTCTATTAATCATGGCTATGCAAGTGGAAAATAAAAGAACTACTTTCAACCGAGTAATAGCATATTCTCTTGCGGTTTTCTCATTGGTTTTATCCGCACGCACTTCCTCACGGTATGGACTTGCGTTGCCCACATCTTCACATCGGATTACCAACCTCAGGACGCGTATGTGCTTGGAGTCAAAATTGGAAATGGATGACGTCTGCAATTAGGCGGTTTAAGGGGCTTAAGTTAACGGTGCTACTAGCGGAAATTTGCCGATATTGTAGTTAAAGACGTAACAACGACCATCTAGTTGGTGTTGGATATGGCGGTGATGGCTGTGACGGTGGTGGATTTGCTGTTGGTTCTGACGCCTTTGATCTCAAATCACGATGATCGGTGTTATCACTGTGAGCCGCGAAAGAGCAGACACGGTCGCTGAAACAAGAGATTTATTAGCCTGACCTTTCGCACTTTTACTCAAATCCATCACCAGAGACGGAGACAGATAAGTGGTAGTGAATTGCTCAGGTGTTGCAGTATTTATAGGATGCAGTTGCTAGGCCATTACATGCCTATCACAGATGGCAGCTATGAAGGGCATCACGGCTCGACTGACAAGCTGTTGAAGTATGCAGCCGCAATGCCGTTGTTATGTCCTTGTATGTCGGTCAAGATTGTCGGCTACCACGCGCATCGCAAACTACAAAACTGCTGATAACTGCCGGAATTTTTCATCGACGTGAAATCTTGTGCGATTTGGCTCGCCGAAACTGACACCAGCAGTAGTGGTCATGCGTACGTTCTCCTCGCTGATAACTATTTTGCAAAACCTCAACGCGGAATATGGAGCCGGGAGCTATTTGCGTTTGCTGATCGATAGTGGACTCGAGCAGATCGCGGCCCACGTGGTTGTCGCCTCTAGCACGAATTCTTGCTTTCGTCAAATTTGAATGTGTGGTTGGATCCCGTCGAATGCGTCAAGATATGGGAGCTGGCGTTGTTCCTCCTCACTACCGCTGTGTGCTCGCGTCAGCACAGTCAACGGAAACAAGATCTGCCACTGGTCATCTTCCGCAGTGAGGCCACGGCAAGGAGTGCCTCCTACGAATGTCATTACATTACTGCGAAAAGCCGTGTTGCCGGTCGGGCCTATCAGCATCCAGGAGTAGTAATTGAAGCCGCGAAGTAGCCCAAACCGTATGCTGGCGTTAGATGCCGACTCGACAAAACATGTGAACATCTCGCAGATGACGGGAAGCGGCGGCGCCTTAATAAGCATGTTTTGCATGAGGCTGTGTAGGAGGGACTTTGTGGTGGTAGTGGTCGCGTGGCAGTTGAGGAAGTGGTAATAATTTTGTGGTTGATGAATTTCAGGGAATTGATGTTTGATGTGACGAAGATTTTGATGGTGGTTGTAGTGGCGTTTGTTCTTTCGCCGATGTATACAGTAAGGGTGGACGCATTTGTGATGTGTGTGCTGCTGCTGAGACATTCCCCCCGCAGGAGAATCGGTCACGTGAGCGGGCGTGCGCATTCTACATTCCCAGTGACAGCGGGCCAAATGGCCGGCTAGTCATCACACCAACACCCAACACGGATGATGAAATTGTAGCACGTAACTATTAGGATGTGGACTTACGCATCAATTTCGACTTCCAGCGGTGAACGCGAGAGCTATCAATTAAAGTCTGCATGTTGTCTCACGGCAGCAATGTACTGCATTCTTTGTGTCTCCACTAACCTTATTTACCACTGCCTCGGATGATGGGTTCGAGTGAGAATCCGAAATGTCAGGCCAATAAAGTTCTTGTTCCACTGATCGCGTCTTCTTCTTCTGAAACAATAACACCACCACCTCTACCACCATATTCAACTTTACCATCGCCACCGTTCCAGTAACAAAGAAACTTCCATAACTCCAAGTGCAACATCAACATTCACCATCAACATCGACACAAATCGCATGACAGGCAACATCAGAGCTGACACGAACAACTTTAACACACCAACACCACCGGCACAACCACCACCACCACACAACCACCACCACAACACAACCACCACCACAACCACCAACACCACCAACACCAAAACCACCAACACCACCACCACCACCATCAGCACCAACAGCACCACCACCACTACCACCACCACCACCACAACCACCACCAACACCACCACCACCACCACCACAACCACCATCACCACCATCGCCACAACCACCACCACAACCAGCACCACAACCACCACCTCCACCACCACCACTACCAGCACCACCACCACTACTTCTTATCGACTAGTTCCTGGAACTGGCATATTGGCTTGTATCGACGTCAGTAATGTCTCAGTGCGGTAGGCATGCATGATCCTTCGGTCTTTTTCAGCTTGCCTCTGCTATAAAATCCCAGGCTGTCCTCACTAATCATCCATAATAAGGTCAAACCCAAGAAAGCCTACAAGCCAGCCCCATTCAGGCCCTGCAGCATGTTAAGGAATGCCTCCTACAAAAGTCAGTGTGCTGCAGCAAAACGCCGGGTTGCCGGTTGGGCCTATCGGTATCCAGGATTAGTAATTGTAGTCGCGAAGTAGCCCAAACCGTATGCCGGCGTCAGGCGTCGACCCGACAACACATGTAAACAGAACCTGGCGGGTGGCTGGAAGCAGCTGGTGCGTGCAGAGGCATTTGCCATGCTCGCGCCTCAATGGCGTCCATGAGCATGTTTTGTATTGAATTTTTCCGTAAAAATTCAAATTTCTGAACATTGCTCACTCATTATCATTGTTATGCAGCTACAGGTTGCGGTTGATATGCCGTCGCGAAATTTGTAGATTCTGCTGTCTATGCCTGTTTCAAAATGAGAAAGCTGTAAAGGCCACATTGCGAAGTAATCATTGCGGTCTGATTTCCAACGCCCAATATCTAGTTAGCTTGCATTCTTCCAAGAAGTCTGATTTGGAATTTGAATGTGAGATTACACCTACTCTATACCACTAATCGCACCTTGCTTGCTTTGGGAATGAAATGCGTTAATGTCTACTAATTCCAATCTGGACAGAAGCATATCCCCAGTGGTATCTTTCTGTAGAGAAGATAGGTAATTTTAGCGTTAGTATTGTTTGCGCTGTTTTGGTTGCTGACTATGTTGTTGATGATTAATAACATGAAGATGATTATGACGATAATGATCCTGCTGATGATATGGATGATCGTAAAGATTATGACGGGGATTTATGCGACAGAGACATTGATCAGTGAAAAAGCGACCGGGTTGATGATAGTGTTCGTGACGCCGATGCCTTCCCTTAGTTGCGGTTAATCTGGACTGTCCTTTGTTGGCAATATCTTTGGCGGTAGTTAAGACGATGACGGAATACCATGATTTCTTTTCTTGTTTTCCTATTTCTAGGTTTGTTTGTCGTTGTAACTGGTGTTTTAGAGAATGACTTAAGAAATGAGGTGAGCACCGTCATCCGTTCTTCTGGAAGCCCGACTGTTAACCTGCACCAGACTGAATTTTGTAGGAGGCATTCATTGCCGTAGACCTGGATGTGAATAATGGGCGCAGTCAGCTCTAGTCGACTGTAAGCAAGTCGCCACTGCAAGAACACTTGTCGGCATGCATGGTAGACGCGCAGCTCACCTCCGACGCGACATCAATTCACCCATCGCCAGTAAATATTCATATGCGTTGGCAAGTCGGCGCCTTAAGCCGGCAAACTGTTTAGACTACTTCGTTGATACAGTCATTCCTAAATACTTGGCCCGACCGACGATCCGGCTTTTGGCACTGCCTGCAATAAGTCCACTTTAAGGCATGCTCTGTGCGTTGGCATGTGGTTGAAGATATTTGAACGCAAAATCTGCTACGTTGGACAGGCAGAGTGGGTGGGTAAATGGTAAGTGTGCCCAGGGCCACCACAGTACCACAGCTTGAACATCCACTTCGACGATGTCTTCCGTGTGCTCTGATGAAACGTTGGCAGGAATTCTGGACTTCGTTTTAAGCTTGGAAGTAGTATTTCGACGGAGTTGCAATACTGATTGTCTCGTGACATAGTATCATAATATTTTGCACTTGCCAATATTTTGAAATTGTAATATAGTTCCTGTAGACCTTCTGTAAAATCGGCATTGAGTAAACAATGATTATTGATGTGATATGAACTTTCGATATTGATTCTCGATATATTTTTAAATTCAAATAGATGTCATTGGAAAAAGGAAAAAAAATATGCTTTCTTTTACTGATTCGGTAGCAAATTGCTCTCTCTCTCTTCAAACTTTATACACGAAGAAAGAGTACCCTTTGGTTTCAAAAAGTTTATTTAATTCCCCGATAATTTTTAGTTCAGTCTACCTCGGCATCTGCGTTTAGCTATTTCAGGCTAAAACTGACACTTTGCGCTCTACAATATCAGACACCCCCCGGTGTCTTAAGAAAGAAATGAAAAACTCATGCAATCTTGCATTCGATGGGCACAACATTGTATAATTCATTAATAAACAGACAGGTAAGATCCTGTATGAATGGATATCTTGAGGTATTAAGGAGTCCCATAGTAAATAACCCTCCTATTTTAAATCACAAGAACTTGGACACTGCGCCGAAAATTGTGAGATATAGACATGTCAGCGTTGGGAAGCAGCAATCACCTGCATATCCACAAGAATTCTCTGGTGACTGCAGTCGCAACTGTTGGCCAAAAAGCATGCACGAGCTGCATCCACTGTAGCTTTTAGTCGACTGTAAGCAAGTCGCCACCAGAAAAGCAGTTATAGGCATGCATGACAGACGCGTAGCTCACCTCCGACGCGGCATCGACTCACCACAATCGCGAGTAAATATTCATGTTTGCTAGCAAGTCAGCGCCTTACGCCGGCAAACGGTTTGGGCTACTTCGTTGAGATCATCATGCCCAATTACTTGGCCCGATCCGGCAACCCGGCTTTTGTCCCAGCCTGCAATAAGTCCATTTTGAGGCATGCCCTGGGCGTTGGCTTGTGATGGAAGACATTTGAAGTCATCACCTGTTTCGCTGGTGAGGCGGAGTGGGTGGTTGTGTGCGTGGTGAGTGTACTAATCCGAGCCACCACATTTGGACAGACAGAGCGTCCATTTCGACGATGTACACCTCAGCGTGACAGCCACCGAACGAACTTCCGTCTGGCGGTATACAAAAACTGCACTCTGTAAAAAAGGACTATTTATTTAGCATGCATTTTCCCACTGATTTTCGATACGCTTAAATTTATATTTCATATAAAACCTGCTAATTATATTTCATGGAAATCATGAATAAAAATATTCATTGTTCCGCTAATTCGGTAGATAATTAAGACTTCTTCCAATTTTATACTCGAAGGAAATAATACTTGGGGTTTTAAAAAAGTTTCTAATTATGCGAATATTCAATACTTGGAAAGGACCTTTCGTAAAACGTTATATCTCTGCATTTACCAATGCGGCTCGTAAAGTAAACAATATGGATCAAATCCACTACTAAATTTTATGAACTCCAAATTCTTTTCACTTAATACTGTAGAGAAATACACGTCTTTCTGTACGCGGAAAAGATACGGCTTGTAGTTTGGAAAGCTTGAATGCAAGTATAACGGCAGAGCGGGTATGAAATTATTCGGGAATTGGAAAAGTTTTTGGAAGTCGAAGAGTGGAAGAAGACGTAATTTTTTACCGAATCAGCGAAAGATTGAATATTTCTAATGCACGTTTTCCATGAACTATAATTGTAGTTTTAGGAGCATCGAAAATAAACGAGGAAAATGCGTGCCACTTAAGTGGTCATTTTAACAGAGTGCAGTTTTTACATGCCACCGGAAGGAATCTCATTCGAAAGCCGGCACCTTGGGGTTTCAGTTTCAGTTTATTTAGAGAAATATAGGCGAGCGCATTTGAACCCCCTATTTTTTACAAGTCGTGGGAGAAAAACATGGATATTGGGAATGTGAAAAAGGGGCTTTGTTCATAATCGCTGACAGCTTGTTAAATAAGAGTACTCAATAACTGTTACTAACTAGTTACATGTAGTATAAAGATGTTTAAGTTGGTGCCGGGTTATGTGCGTGGATGAAAGGCTGGTTACTGGGAGGCTTGATGCGCGTCAAGTCTAAACTTAAGGGAATTCACACAGGAGGATGTTGCAACATCGGTGGGCAGGGCATTCCACGCTGCCACCACTCTGTGACTGAAAAAGTACATTCTTCCATTGATCTTTGCTTTCCCGGCGCGTAGTTTTAGGGGATGACCGCGCAAAGTGGGCGTGCTAGCCTGTGTGAAATAATCAGTGGGTTCTAAACAACAGTCTAGGCAGTTGATAATGCGAAATGCAAGTATAAAGTCGCCACGTAATTGCCTGTAGGAAAGTGGAAACAGGTTGAGAGTTGACAGTCGGGATTCGTAAGACAGCGCTCCCAGACCTTGTGTCATTTTGGTCGCCCGTCTCTGGACCTTCTCCAAAACGGTATAGTCCTTGACAGTCCAAAATCTCCACGCCTGTATGGCGTATTCTAGATGAGGCCTCACGTAGGTGCCAAATATTTTTGAAAAGTTGTCTGAGTCAAATCCCATAAATGCTCGCTTAATGAGTTGCAGTGTAGCCATAGCCGATTTAGCCGCCTTCGCGCAATGCAGTGTTGGCTTGAGTGAAGATGTAATCCATACACCCAAGTCCTTCTGACTGTCAACCTGTTGCAGTGGTGTGCCGTCTAGAGAGTAAGTCCTGGGGCTGGAGGCTCTGAAACTGCCTAGTTGAAGAAAGTTTCACTTGCTTATATTAAAGGGCATAAGCCAGCGCTTTGACCAGTCTTCGAGCCTGTTCAGGTTTGCTTGCAGGTGGTCTGCGTCTGCCGCATTGTGAATAACTTTCCACAATTTAATGTCGTCGGCAAACAGGATGGTATCACAGTCTAAGTCCTTGACGCAGTCATTTATGAACACGAGGAATAACGTGGGACCTAAGACTGAGCCCTGTGGGACGCCACTCACCACGCTTACCTCTGAGGACTGTTGACGCCCGACCTGCACTCTTTGGGACCGTCCAGCCAAAAAGCTCTGGATCCATACAAGAAGGCATCCACGAATTCCAGCCTTGCGCAGTTTGTGCAAGAGACGTTGGTGGGGAACGCTGTCGAAGGCCTTTTTGAAGTCGATGTAGATGGCGTGCACCACACTACCTTCATCGCGTGCTTTGGTCCAGCGTTCGAGCGTAAAGAGCAGATTCGTGAGGCAGGACCTACCACTTCGAAAGCCGTGTTGTGCATCCGAGAGGAGGTGGTGCTGCTCGAGAAACTGCATCAAGGCCTTCTTAATGATCTTCTCCATGATTTTGCAACAGATGGACGTAAGACTCACTGGCCTGTAGTTATTCGCAGACGCACGACTTCCGCTCTTAAAAAGCGGAGTGATGTTAGCGGACTTCCAATCAGAGGGCAGGCATCCAGTAAGAAATGACGTTTGGAAGATCAAGGCTCATGGATTGGACATTTCGGGAGCTAGCTCCTTCAGCAGCTTGGCGGGGATTGCATCAGGGCCTGGGGAGGTCGATTCTTTCAGATTAAGTAAGTCATTCCGAACAATTGCTTCGCTGAAGAATACGGCTTCAAGGGTAGGCGTTTCTTCATCTTCACAAATGGGGGAGAAAAAATCTGGTTCACTTGTCACGGCGGACCGGAAGAACTGAGAGAGGTATTCAGCCTTAACCTTGTCATCGGAGATTTCCATTGCCTCGGCTGTTCGCAGCAGTGGGATGGGGTCTTTGTTACGCGTGCTCTGTCTTATGTAACTGTAGAGGACTTTGGGATTAACCCTGACACGGTTCAGAAGATCCTTTACAAAGGCTTTCCGATCTTTGGCGATGAGTATTTTGAACCGATTTCTCTGTAACTTATAACTGCTTAGGGATTCTGGCGTTCGGTCAGTCAGAGATTTTTCTACAGCTTCCTCTTCTTGTTAACTTCCTTCTTTGAGGACGGAGTCAGCCAGCGGGGTCTATTTGTTAGTCTTCTGCGCATGATTGAGCAATGGTTGGAGATGAGGTTGTGGACTAACTCTTTGAACTGACACCAAACCTCTTCGACATCGCCGGATAGAGTGGATGCCCAGTCGGTAGGACTAAAATCCCTTCTCATCTGTTCGAAATCTCCGCGCCAAATATTGGGTCGGGAATCAAGCGGTTGTGCTGGCAGGGAGAATAAGGTGAATTCGCACATGAGAACTACATGGTCACTCTGACCCAACGGGGGGAGGCAAGTCACAACGTCGATATCGTCAGAGGACTTGATGAACACTAGATCAAGGCAATTCATTTGCTGGCCCTCTGGAACTCTCGTTGGAAACATTACGTGTTGGGTTAGAAGCAGATTGTCGGAGTTACGCAGTAACTGCTGGTCGAATGCTGCTTCAGAGCAGTCGGCTGAGGCCGAGCTCCAGTTTATGTGAGGTGCATTAAAATCTCCAACGATGAGAGTAGTCGGTCGCGTTGAAAATAGCCTAAGCTCCTCCAGCAGTTGGGCATCAGCGTCAGGGTCATTTCTCGGGGGGCGATATACTGTCAAGATATCGAGGCTTTGAGAGCCTGGTGTCCGTATGATTAGCCACAACGCCTCCGTACTACAAGCCAACTGGGCAGTTTTTCTGAAACGTATAAGCCGTTCTTAACAAAAGGTACAAGGCCTGACCCCTCCAGTTTTGTCTGTCTCTGCGGAACAGTTGAAATCCAGGGAGCATGAGTTATCTATCATCAATCTGTTCGGAAAGCCATGTTTGTATTATTGAGATAACGTCTGAATAGAGGTGATGGGTAAGGATACAAAGTTCAACAAGTTTAGAAAGTACACTTTGCGCATTGGTATACACGAATATGAGTTTCGAGTTAATGCGTGATTTTTTATCAACCCCGTAAAAAGGTGAAAGCATTATTAAAGAATAATGCAGCGGGAAGATCAGTTTTTCAACATTACTCAATAAAACTTTTCAAAACGAAAGCGAATTTCGAAATTTTTGTTGATATTTCATGAGTTTCCGCAACTACTGTAGTATCGTAATAATTTTAACTCGCCAATATTTTGAATTTTTAATACAGTTCTTTTCGATCTTCTGTAAAAATGGCACTTAGTAAACAAGGATTATTGATGTGGTATGAAATTTCGATATTGATTCTAGATAAATTTATAAATTCAAATAGATGTCATTGTAAAAAGGAACAAACATATGCTGTCTTGTACTGATTCTGTAGAAAATTGCTCTCTCGCTCTCTCTCTCCACATTATTTATACGAGGAAATAATTCACTTTAAATTTAAAAATTTCATTTAATTCCCGATAATTTTTAGTTCAGTCTACCTCGACATTTGCGTTTAGATTTTCAGGCTAAAACTGACACTTTGCGCTCTACAATATCAGACACCCCTTGGTGCCTTAAGAAAGCAATGAAATATTCATGCAATCTTGCATTTGATGCGCACAATATTGTATAATTCATTAATGAACAGACAGGTAAGATCCTGTATGAATGGATATCTTTAGGTCTTAGGGAGTCCCAAAATCAAAAAATGTCCTATTTCAAATCACTAGAAATTTGACAGTGCGTCGAAAATTGTGAGATATAGACATGTCAGCGTTGGGAAGCAGCAATCACCTGCATATCCACAAGAATTCTCTGGTGACTACATCGCAACTGTTGGCCAAAAAGCATGCACGAGCTGCATCCACTGTAGCTTTTAGTCGACTGTAAGCAAGTCGCCACCAGAAAAGCAGTTATAGGCATGCATGACAGACGCGCAGCTCACCTCCGACGCGGCATCGACTCACCCCAATCGCGAGTAAATATTCATGTTTGCTAGCAAGTCAGCGCCTTACGCCAGCAAAGGGTTTGGGCTACTTCGTTGAGATCATCATGCCCAATTACTTGGCCCGACCCGGCAAGCCGGCTTTTATCCCAGCCTACAATAAGTCCATTTTGAGGCATGCCCTGGGCGTTGGCTTGTGATGGAAGACATTTGAAGTCATCACCTGATTCGCTGGAGAGGCGGAGTGGCTGGTTGTGTGTGTGTGTGTGTGTGGTGAGTGTACTAATCCGAGCCACCACAGTTGGACAGACAGAGCATCCATTTGGACGATGAACACCGTGTTCTCTACCGCAGCTTTTTGAGAGAGGGGACGGCAAATTTAGCGCGAATTTGTTTGTCTTTACATTAGACTTGCTCTGCATCTACCTCGCTCTGGTCTTTCCCCGTCCTATTGACCCCCTCGCCACGTTAATATCGAGCATACCGGATGCGAGTGCATTCGCAAGTGGCTGACATCACGAAACGCGAACAGTCAAGATGACCGTTGGCGGGAGAGGCCGCGGGTTTATGACACGGCGAAACCCGCACTGAGGCGTACCAGCACTCCATCCCCTGTTAGACAATACAGGCTGAGCAGGTGCTTACACAACAAGATCAGGGGGCGGCTTGAATCCCAGTGGGCGCTACGTAAGTCGGCAAATGGGCCTCTCGCCACACTCCGAGTATTGGCATTTGTTATGGGTGCGCCGGACTCAGATCTATCCCGTGCTGGTCCAGTGTATCTACCGCGTTTTCCGTTTTAGGCACACGTAAAGATGTTAGTCAACTATAAAGTCTCTCTCACTCTCTGTGTGAAGACGCAATGATGCTACGGCAGCAGTAAGTGTGTAGGGCTCCGTGCTCCGATCCTGTGTGTGGTGGGCGTCACCTATCCAGCTAGCTATTTTTCGTGGGGTTCGCACAAGCATCGCAAAGATGCTCGTGGTGAACTTGACATGCCCGGTTTCTTTGGAATCGGAGCGTAATGCCTACATTGCCCGTTAAGAATATCGCATGTGATCAACATAGGCTGGTTTCAGCTCCACGGTAGGAAGGTTGAGCTGTTCCACGTCTACCAGGCCCGCCAATTTTTGCTGCGGCTAAGGAACAAGTACCCACATGCATTGCAAGTGGTTTTTGAATAAATACCTGGGAAGTGGAGTTTGGGGTTGGGGTTGATGTTAGCCGTTGGGCGTTACGGTTTGGGATAAGAGGATTGGAGTTGAAGTAAGGAAACGGTAGTAAGTAGTCACTGAAATTTGGAGAAAGGCTACTTGTAGTGCCGGGAAGGGGTGTCTATTCTCATATCCAATTCACATTGTACACGCAGACATCGGTCACTGTTCTAGACTAGGGACGTTCGTTGACTCGCAGATATCCATATGACAAAGAGGGACACTGCATTCCTTTCAAAAGCGCAATGACACTAAATAACTTATTATTTTTATTTTTATTTAAGTACATCCTGACATTCCCAATATCTTTTCTTTAGCATACAACTACTTGACCTCGTCGTCAATGCGTTACCAGGCCCCACCTGTAAAAAAACCCTATTACCACCGGCCCCGTATTAGAGGTGACTGGGATTTGCTTACTTCAGGTGGGACTACCAAACCACATCCGACCTACTTTAACTACCCACGGATTCTAGTCGGCTGTCTGAAAATACGACCAAACCCTGGAGTACTACAATGCTATACTTGCAGATTGGCATGACCAAATACGACGGCCCAGTATTATTTGGCTTTGTTTACACTGTTGAGTGGTCGATTAAATATAGTTTATCAAATGTAAAACGCAATGGCTACTGCGTACGAGGCAATAATATGCTGATATAGGATGGTCTGCACCGGAATTTGCGCTTATTCGTAGTTAGAATGGCGAAATATTGGAGAACAAAAGGAATGAGCTTAAAGGACTTAAGAAGGAAGTGGACGGTTAAAATGTGACATTTTATAACTAAGGATGTACGAGTGCAGTACTTAAGACCAGCGGTCCGAGATTCTCAGACGACAGATATCTGCATTCGGGAAGGAGGATAGGTTTTAGCGAAGCCAAGGAGAGGTCGCGGCTGGAGGATTTTATTAAAAATTCCGGAGATGTTTTCTTCGACTTGGAGGCAACGGTTAAGCAGTTCAGGCACAGACGGCCAAGTAACAATCGACCCGCTCTGTGATACCTTCGAGGACCCGACTCCCGAGGTAGACAGTTAGCCAAATTCACCTGCTGATTGCTCACGAGGTGTATAAAGCATGTTCGATGATGTCTGCGACAGATTTGAGTTCACAGGCCAGGCTGAAAAACGCATGTAGGTTCGGCATCATTCGTCCAGTTAAATACCATGCAAATCCTCTTCCCAGACACACAAACATTGGCTTCTGCTGTTGGTGGTGGTGGAAGGCCTGAGCCCTTCAACGTGTCACGGCCCAATGTAGAATAAGTCCGTCTTCGAATGATCCTGATATCTGAGGAGCTGTTGGCAGTAACCTCGTCTATT